GTACATCCTTAAGCATCATTTGTAAGGCCTGGCCAAGTGGTGAAAATTCTTTCAATTTTTACCTGTTCATCCATTTATGAACAAGAATTTTGGAGAATATTTTATTCTGGGTTGGCAATTCTCTTCCTTTAGGATTTGGACTATATCTCTCCATTTTCTCCAGGCCTATAGGGTTTCTTTTGAGAAATCTGTGGTCATTTGTATGGTAATTCCTTTAAAGTAGGTTTGGAATTTCTTACAACTTTTAGGATATTCTCTTTAAATTTATTTTTGAAATTTATGTTAGGCATAATTTCTGATCATACTTTTTTGGAACACTTCCAGTATTTGGATCTCTCTTTCTCCAAATTGGGGAAATTTTCTGCTACTATTTCACTGAATATGTTTTCTTAACCAGTCTTTTTTTCCATACTTTTGGAACTTCTGAGACTTGTATATTTGGTGGTTCAGTGGTATCCCATAAATCCCCAACACTGTGTTTGGCATTTCTTTTTTTATTTTTATTTTTTGTCTGATGTTTCAGAAGATTAGTTTTTTAGATCAGATATTCCTTCTGCTTCACGGAGTCTAATGTTATAGCTTTCGACTATGTATTTTTATTTGAGTTATTGAATACTTCTTTTGTAATATTTCTGTTTTTTCTTCATTGTCTCTATGTCTTTGAAGCATTTCTCTTTCGTGTCATGTTCTGAATTCCTTATTTCATCTAACTGTTTCTCCATGTTTTAGTGTAACTTTACAATCATTCTTTTGATTTATGTTTCAGGCATTTTGTCAATTTCCCCCTCTTTGCAGTCCAATATTAATGTACTATTGTGTTCCTTTTGGGGAGTCATATTGCTTTCATTGGTCATGCTTTTTGTTTTTCTACTTTGAGCTTTGCACATCTCAAATAGCACTCTGGCCTCAGAATCAGCCCTTAAGGCATGTGGATATGGCTGAAGAGCCCATGAGAGTATTTTAGACATGGAAAGCCAAGATACTCTGGAAAAAAAAAAAGAAGAAGAAGACCTAAATGAAAGATCTCTGCTAGTGAGATCCCAGTGGAAAGAACGGGGCCATCAAAGAAGGAGGTACCTTTCTCTGAAGGGAGGGGAGAACTTCCACTTTGACTATGACCCTGTTGGAATAAGATCGAAGTCGGCGAACTCAAAAGGCTTCCATAGCCTTGGCAACTCATGAGTAGAGCCTAGGGAGATTACTGACGCCATAAACAAGAGTGTTAAATTGTTAAGTCAACAACAGGAGTCACTGTGTACTTACTTCTCATGTGGGATCTGTCCTTAATGTGTTTTCCAATGTGAAGTAATGCTATAACTAGTACTGAAACAGTATTTTACACTTTGTGTTTCTGTGTGGGTGCAAACTGATGAAATCGTTACTTAATATATACTGAATCGATCTTCTGTATATAAAGATAATTGAAAATGAATCTTGCTGTGAATGGAATGGGAGAGGGTGCGGGAGATGGGAGGGGTGCGAGTGGGAGGGAAATTATGGGGGGGGGGAAGCCATTGTAATCCATAAACTGTACTTTGGAAATTTGTATTTACTAAATTAAAAAAAATTTCTCATTTTTATATCCTTTGGAAGTTTTTTTTTAATTTTTGTTTTTTTTCATGAATATTTTATTCTTGGATATGTGCCTCTTTGGCTTAGCATAGTGCCTAAGGCTTACATGAGTTCAAGGAGTGTATGTGCTGTGCCCTCAGGGAGCTCTGGGCACAGTTTGTAGATTGGATTCTTAAAAGTCCAGAATGGTATGTAAGATTGAGGTGGTATCAGGCCTCTGGCTACAGTCAGTTGGGGAGCAGGATGTTGGGCCCAGCTAGAGTGTTCAGCAGACCAGCTTGCCTTTGTGTGAAATGAGCTAGCTGATTCATGGCCTAGAGCCAGCTCACATCTAGCAGTAGGGGGGCTGCCCACTTGTTCCTGGAATCAGGAAAGAGTTCAGCTCCGTCTCTAGCACTGCAAACTGAGTCGGGTGCTTTTTTTGGGGGAGGGGATGGAGTCAACGTGGCCATCCATCATGGAGCAAGATAGTTTACCACACCCTCACCATCTCCCCAGGCTGGAGTCAAAGCCATTGGTGACAGAGGAACTCTCCCTCAGAGCTGCCATTGATGGACACTGTGACGCCTCCTCTCGGCTTTCTCTGGAATGATAGTGCTTCCTTTCTGGCAGTCCGCTGTGCAGATGCAGGAATGCCTAGCAGCGCAGCAGGCAGCAGTGTGTCTGTTATCTCTCCTTGCTCCCGCCGCCCCTCCCAATCTCTGCTCTATTCTGTTCTGTTCCTTCTCTATTGGAAATTTCTCTCAGTCAACCCCCTGAGCACATGGTAGTTCCTTTGTCTTTCTGCTGTCTTTCTGTGGCTGAGGTCAGTCAGACTTCTCCCTGTTCAGCCATACTGGGTCCTCTACAACTGTTTTAATTATTTCATTTTTATCAATGGAATGGTTTAGCCAGAAGATGATGTGCAATGTTTTTCAGAAGGGATAATGACATGATCAGCCTTGCTTTTAAAAAATATGTCACTTCACTGGAATATAAATTGAAACCTAGAAATACTGAAGGTGAAGACTTATGGCATGTGGGTCATGTTAGTCTTAATAGGAAAAGTAGCTGACAGTACTTGAATGGTGGCTATTGGAATGAAAAAAAGAAGGATCAGATACAAAAGAGTTTGTGCATGTAGAAATTAGAATATACTAATGGAGTAGAATTTGGATATGAAATGTGAGATTTGTGTCCTACATAATTGGAATTGTACTTTAAGTCAACAACAGGAGTCACTGTGCACTCGCTCCTCATGTAGGATCTCTGTCCTTAGCGTGCTGTACATTGAGACTTAATGCTATAACGAGTACTCAAACAGTATATTTCACTTTGTGTTTCTATGGGGGTGCAAACTGTTGAAAGCTTTACTTAATGTATACTAAACTGATCTTCTGTAAAAAAAAAAAAAAAAAAAGAAGAAGAAATTATCAATTCCCAACTTGACTCTCACTGGGATTAAACATGACAATAGGTCTGATCTGATTTCATCATCATTTAAAAAATCATCTATCATTTTTCACTTTATGTTTCTGTGTGGGAGCAAACTGTGAATCTTTACTTAATGTATGCTAAACTGATCTTCTTGTAGATAAGAGAATCGAAAATGAATCTTGATGTGAATAGAAGGGGAGAGGGAGTGGGAGAGGGGAGGGTTGCGGGTGGGAGGGACGTTATGGGGGGGAAGCCATTGTAATCCATAAGCTGTACTTTGGAAATTTATATTCATTAAATAAAAGTTAAAAAAAAAAGGAATTGTACTTTAAGAAAAGGAGTGCATAATAAGAACTTAAGTTTGAGTTCAATTTTATCATGTGTAATTGTTAGATGATGGAATGTTTCATTTGCTAATATGAAACAATAAAAGTGAGAATGATGTTAGAAGTTTATCAGGATGATTTTAGGGCAATAAAACATATCCTTTTTAATACATTATATGTGGCTTCATTTTTGTTGTTATCAAGAGTAATAGTGTAAGTAATAGCTGGATGTATTAAGTGTATGATATGTGTTAAGTATTTTCTTTTTTTTTTTTTTATATTTTTTTTTATTTTTTGACAGGCAGAGTGGACAGTGAGAGAGAGAGACAGAGAGAAAGGTCTTCCTTTGCCGTTGGTTCACCCTCCAATGGCCGCCGCGGCCAGCACGCTGTGGCCGGCACACCGCGCTGATCCGATGGCAGGAGCCAGGAGCCAGGTGCTTTTCCTGGTCTCCCATGGGGTGCAGGGCCCAAGCACCTGGGCCATCCTCCACTGCACTCCCTGGCCACAGCAGAGAGCTGGCCTGGAAGAGGGGCAACCGGGACAGAATCCGGCGCCCCAACCGGGACTAGAACCCGGTGTGCCGGCGCCGCTAGGCGGAGGATTAGCCTAGTGAGCCACGGCGCCGGCCTGTGTTAAGTATTTTCAATTCCATTATATAATTTAATTACCATATCAATTTGAGAGCCAAGTATTATTATTCTCCTCTTGCAGATGAAATTAAGCCTACAGAGATTAAGTAAATTTTCTAAGCTCATATAGTTACTGATTGTATGTGTATATTTTGAAGCTAAGCTGTTTGACTCCCAAGTTTTTGCTTTAATAAAACTCATTTCATCAAGTAGATGTATCAAACTAAAAATGAAAAGAGGCTGAAAGAAGACTAAGAGAAATATTTGTATCCCTAGTAGGCTTCAGGATACTCCTGAACACTTTAAAGAGTTTCACAAAATTTGCAAATAAATTAATTTACTTTCCCCTAAAAGTAATTTATAGGGACCAGATCTGCTTCCAATTCAGCTTCCTGCTAATGGGTCTGGGAAAGCAGCAGAAAATGGACCAAGAATTTGGACCCCTGCCATCTATGTTGCAGGCATGGATAGAGTTCCTGTTTACTGGCTTGGGCCTGGCCCAGCCCTGACCATGGTGTTCATTTAGGAAGTGAAACAGTGAATGAAAAATGTCTTTGTTTCTTTGTCTTTCTCCCTTCTCTCCATAATTCTGCCTTTCAAATAAATAATAAATAAATCTTTAAAAATTTTTAATTTATAGGACCTAGTGTTGAGGTATAGCAGGCTAAGTCTTGGCTGCTCTTCTTCTGATCTAGCTTCCTGCTAATCTGCCTGGGGAGGCTGTGTAAGATGACCCAAGTGCTTGAGCCCCTCCCACACATGTGGGAGATGACGAAAGTTGCTGCCTTTGAGCTTCACTCTTGTCCACTGCTGGCTACTGCTGCCATTCCTGGAGTGCGCCAATAGATGGAAGATCTGTCTCTTGTCTCTCTGTTTTCAAATGAATAAATAAGTCTTTCTTAAAAATAATCGATAATATGTAGTAACTGTGGTTTTGGTATAGCAAGAGGAAATAACATGATATTCAAAAGAGGAGATAACAACACCTTCAGTGAAATATGATGTGTGTGTTTAAATGTAGAAAACTCAGTATTATATTGGTTTTCATTTACAGCTTGTACATGCAGTGGACATGCAAATATTTGTCATCTACACACAGGAAAATGTTTCTGTACAACTAAAGGAATAAAAGGTGATCAGTGCCAATTGTAAGTAAAATCGACTTTTTCGGATTTTGTGGATTGGAACTTATGTTATGAAACTAATTTTTATGAATTTTATTTTTCAAGTTTAGTGCTGTAATTGTTAGGCATTTGAAACTGTAAGGTATTTTTAGTTGTACCTTATCAGTTCTCTTGAAAGAGTCTTTCAAAATGAAAATTGTGTGGAGGGTTTAAAACAGAACACATAGAATTTATTGCATTTTGTATTTCTAAAAATAGAGACATTTTCAATTTTCTTGGAAATCATATCTTATATGTATTTATTGTCTTTACAATTTTCCTCCATATCATATGAAATCAATGCCTCTGTTTTTCATTTTTCATGAATTATGCTGATAATTCTACTCTTTTAACTCTTTCAGCATGATTCCTTATGTTCATATTGCCCGTTTTTTAAAAAAAAAGATTTATTTATTTTACTTGAAAGTCAGAGTTACAGAGAGGAAGAGGCAGAGGCAGAGAGACAGAGAGACAGGCAGAGAGACAGAGAGATGTCTTCCATCCTGTGGTTCACTCCTCGATACTGGCCGGAGCTGGGCCTGTTTGAAGGAGCCAAGAGCCTCCTCCAGATCCCCCATGCAGGTGTAGGGGCTCAAGGGCTTGGGCCATCTCCCACTGCTTTCCCAGGCCATAGCAAGGAGCTAGATCAGAAGTAGAGCAGCCAGGACCTGAACGGGCACCCATAAGGGATGCTGGCACTGCAGGTAGTAGTTTCATTTACCCGCTATGCCACAGAGTCAGCCCTGTCATCTTCCTCTTTTTTTTTTTTTAATCTTTGCATAAGAACTCACTATTGTTGTTCTACCTTCAGTACTTTTATGAGTAATTTTTTTTATCATTTACTTGTTATTCTCTTAATCTCTCCCCCAAAATTGACTTTAAAAAACAGTTGTTTCAGGTTATTTAATTGTTTTATTCATTTACCTTATGTCAGTAAAATCTACTTTTTTGGCTTTAAATCATATATGTGCAGTTATGTGTTTATGCTTGGTATGCATTTGATGCAAATGATAAATTTGAACTATAATAATTATAGAATTAGGTGAGAAATTTAATAAAACATATTCAAAACTATAACTCTAAAAATTATATCTAAAGAAGCCACTTAATTGTGGAAAATTACCTTTTGTAATTTTTTGGTAAAACAAATTTGTTTGCTATAGAATTATCCTAAACATTTCCAATTAGGTGATCACATCTTTGATGAGCTTCATGAGTATATCACATTTTTTTCAAGTTCAGAGAAAGTGATCAACAACAAGTTTTTGTTCCTTTTCCATAAATATAAGATCAAAGCAGAAGATATGAGGAAAATTTCTATCAAGGAAGACCATGTTGTTATGTAGGCAGTGGAATTAAATCAGAGTCCTATCATTCCAAATGGAATAGGCCTCTGATACTTGGAGCACTAAAGCTTGGTTGTAATTTAGGTCCATTATGTAGCCCATGAATTTTTACAGGATCTCATACTTAGAAGAGCATTATATTTGGTTTAATTCTCTGCTGCTGCTATTTTGAAATAATTAAATATTTTTAAACAAGAACCCTCTATTTACATTTTGCTATCTTTTCCTATATCCTTAAATTATGTATCAGGGTCTGGTCATAAGCAATGTTTCCTTTGGTTAAATTCTGTGTTGGTTGGATAACAGCAGCAATGAAAGTATTTTCTATGGATCATAGTAGCAGTTTAAAGACAAAATAAGTGATTCTATCATGATTATAAACATTGAGAATTTATTACAGGTTTGCATAAATGATATAACCAAATAAGCATCTCTAATAATTACCTCTTATATAATACATCAATTCAGTAACATATTTTTTCCAGAGAAGAGAGAGTGATATTTTAATTAATTGAATTTTCAAGCTTATAATTAGATAATATGAAACTAGAAAAGTATATAATTCTGAATGATGACACTACCTTTTTTCCTTATATTTATTTATTTTGTAGTAGGGGAAAAATGGAATACTAATTTGTAGTGTTTTTAGATAGTATTTGTATATAGAATTTCAGTCATAAGTTTTGTTTGTTTGTTTGTTTGTTTTTTTGACAGGCAGAGTTAGACAGTGAGAGAGAGAGACAGAGAGAAAGGTCTTCCTTCTGTTGGTTCACCCCCCAAATGGCCGTTACAGCCGGCGTACTGCGCTGATCTGAAGCCAGGAGCCAGGTGCTTCCTCCTGATCTCCCATGCGGGTGTAGGGCCCAAGTACTTGGACCATCCTGCACTGCCTTCCCAGGCCACAGCAGACAGCTGGACTGGAAGAGGAATGATGGGGACAGAATCTGGCACCCTGTCTGGGACTAGAATTCAGGGTGCTGGCGCCGCGGGTGGAGGATTAGCCTAGTGAGCTGCAGCGCCGGCCACTCATTAGTTTTGGTACTTAACTTTTAAATGTAGAGTAATAAATAATAGGGCCCTGGTTACTAAAGTAATTGTTTGCTAATATGTGCTTATGTTGAAAAAATGTTCTTATTAGGAAATAGAACTAGTCATTTGAGTTAGTAAGCAATTATTAACTATCTATTAGATGCTAATAATGAAGACGACTAACACATGGCCTTTGCCTTGAGTATCTTTCAGATAGTATGGAGACGCTAGCCAAAATACAATGCACTAATTTCTAAGATTAGTGATTTGATATGCTCTGAAACCCTCTCTCTTCTCAGGATAACATCTATTTGGTTTTAACTATGTACATCATTTATAACCTTCCCAAATTGAAACTCCTTTCTTTCTTGTATGCTGATTCATTTCTTAAATTACCTATGGATTTGTTTATGCCATTATTGGGGAATCATTGTATCAGTATCTCAATGTAAGTGTTGAATAACATTATTTATTTTAATGGAATGAAGCAAATATAGACAGAGTACAGTATATTTGAAAGTAGAGTGATTCATTCATCCTGGAAGGATAAGGAAAGTTTATGCAGAGGAAATATGAATTTAAACTTGAAGGAGAATTAAAATTTTTTCTGGCAAAGAAGATAGTAAACAGAAGGGTAAAAACCATCAGTAAAAGCAAAGAAGTAAAAATGAACATGGTTACAGCATTTCCAGTTTTTGTTTAAGAAAATAGAGAGGTGAAAAGATCCTTGCTCCCACCTATGTGATAAAACAAAGAAAAGCTGACTGAACTGTAAATTCATGTTTTCACAAAATCATTGGCAATCTCAGATTACAGAGTAACCAAATGACAAAACATCTTAAGAGAGACAAAAGCGTCTTCAGGGAAAGATGAGACATGACCTACTCCAGAGGCCATCTAGGAACTATAAGAAGAGTTTGGGTAGCTGTCAAATTGGCAGAGGTTAAATGTGTGTCAATAGTGTGAAGTCCTTGGATGCCACAGGAATTGCTAGAGTCTATACCCTTTTTAGTACATAAAACATACAGTTGCTCATGGAAAAAGTTGGAGAAAATTTTAAGAAAACATTCCTTGTGTGGTATACTGCCAGAAGCCAACTACAGTCACATCGAGCAGAGCATCAGTAAAGCAATTAAAACGTCACTTAAAAGGATGCCAAATTATTCATCTTGCCAGGGTAACGACAGTTCTCAGTTAGGCCTTGGTCTGAGATGCAAACAGTAAGTTAAAAAGTGAATTTAATGCAAATATAAACTATCATATATAGAATGGGTAAAGTATTTTTAAATTAAATCAATTTATTTGAGAAACAGAGGAGGAGATTGTGTGTGTGTTTGTATGTGTGAGTGTGTAAGAAAGTGAGAGAGAGAGAGAGAGAGACAGAGAGAGAGAGAATGAATGAGAATGAGAATGAATGAATATGAATGAATGTGTCTTCCATCCACTGGTTCACTTTCCCAATGCCCACAATGACTGGGGCTGGGTCAGGCTGAAGCTAAAAACTGAGAATTCAGTTCAGATCTTTCCTGTTGGTGGTAGAAACCTAATTACTTGAAACATAACTTCTGACTTCTGGGGATCTGCATTAGCTGGTGTCAGAAGCCAGAGCTGGCAACCTAACTGGGCACTCCAATATTTGTCTTAACTTGCATGTTAACTATTAGGCTAAACACCTGTCCCTGAAGTGGTACTTCCTAAGAAAATTGCATATTTTTGTAAAATTTCTGAATTTTATAATGTCAAATCAACACATATTTGCATTCTGTACAGTACGTCTCTGACTCCATTAACTTCATTTTAATGCAATAGTTTAAAGAAGCTCAGAACTGTTTATTTTTTCTTCCTTTAGTCTTCTAACAATATTTGTGATAGAAGTAAATGTACCATAATGGGAATTAAATGGGGCATAGAATGAAAATAGGTAAAAGATGTGGTGATCAAATGTGGTGGATGCCTGTGATGCATCTTGCCAACTGCTTTTTCAGCTCACGTGATCTCACTAAGTTATAAAAGGTACTTTCTGGCGTGTCACTGTGCTGCATTAAGCATGAATCTCTTTGTTCCTGTTAATTTCAAAGCTAGTCATTTCTGCACATGTGCAATAGAAAGAGTAAGATAGTTAATACCAGTGGGGGTAATCCTCAAGCAATGAGGAGTGGAAGTTTGTCCTGCACCTCCCACTTGGCCACCAATGGTTCCTGAGCTCACTGCTCATGGAAAGTATATGCATTCATTCCATATCTGAGTATCTGCTTTTGAAGTAATCCAGCTGAGTCTGTTGCTACTGCAAGTGACTCTAGACAACAGATCATCAACATGAAATTTCATAATCGGTTTCCATATCAGATGGCAGTAAGCAATATGAAGCTGATGGCATGTAGGATAGTGATTATCCTGATGTGTTATAGTATAATAACTGTTGAGAATCTTAACTGTGGTTGATTGAGATAAAGTATAGCTTGAAGGAGAAACACTGGTATTTATGCAGCAACATTACCTCTTGAAAAGTATGAGAGATAGTAATTATAAGGGTTATGAACTTGACTGGCTTTTGTTAACTGCCATAAAGCCTTGAAGAAAGAGCCTTTCATCAACTCAAGGCATGCTGTG